TGCTGCTTTGTTGCGAATATTGGGATGCGCAGCTCAAGGACTGAATAAGGTGAAAATCAGGACGTGACAGGTAAAGGCTGCGAGTGGCGCAGTGGCCTAGACTAAAGCACCATTGGGTGAGAGCTTTGGTCTACCGGGAAGTGCTTCCTATGGTGGTTAGCGGTACCATTTTCGTTTCTCCTTCTGTGCCCACGGTACTCTCAAGTCTCTCTCAAAACCAGCTGGGGCAGATGTTAGTGGTTGATTCCATCATCCATCCCAGCCTCATCAAGTCCCCCCGTCGACTCTACTGCCCTCCCAGGACAGCACCCCCGCGCCAGTGCATGGGCTAGAGCACCTGGAGGTGCTGCTGGTGGTGGCGGGGTACACAGGGCCTGGTGCTGTGTAGTGCACACCAGGTCTCTGAGCCGAGGCTGCCCTGTAGTCCCTGGAGTTTGACGGCACACGCGTTCTCAATTAGGAGCATGTGTCGCTCGCAACACTGCCGTATACCAATGCTACTTCTCCTGCTGGTGCTGTGCCTGGGGCTGTTGGTGCTGTTGTTGGTGCTACTGGTGGTAACGCGGTGATGGAGTCTAGGCTAACCACTTGCCAAGGCTGTTCGGGGATAGGAAACACACCCCAAATTATCAAGGTATTTTACCCTGTTTGTCCTGATGAGCGGCCGCTTTTTCCCAGTTACCCTTTCAGAATCCGGGTATGTGATATGTTACCCTAGACAAAAACGGCTATGAAATATTATACACTGACACAACTTTCATTTACCCTTTCTGAACAGGGTGCAATTTCCATTACCCTTTTACCGAATCTTCCTTACCAAGGATTCAGACACAGTCGACGTGTAGACAAAACAGCCCAGTGGCCCACTGTTTCACTTGTCGAGTTGGACCACAGATGCAACATTGAGATTCCTGGTCGGCGGGCCGCCATTGCATCCTAGTCGCCAAGTTCGCAGCTGTTTTTGCAAGCGCACACGAAATTGATGCCTTGCCACACCAGACCCACTGCCATTTCTGTCACGTAGCGCGTCAGCACAGCTTCGTGCTGTCCCACACAACCGCTGGCAGTCGTTGTGATGCTGCACTCGCAGCCATGCATTGCCCGTGCAGTGCGGGCATCGATCCGTCTGGGCCTGTTTGTAGATGATGGAAGTGTGCTTAGCACAGAGTAGATGGTGATGTGATGTGTGTGGTGGATGTTGATGTTATGGTCATTTACTTGTTGGTTAATGTTGTTATTGCAAAAACAGATACCGTATACTCCCGGACAAAACACCCCCCCATAATTGTACACCCCCGGGTAGCTTGTGCAGGGTGGGTGTTATGATAGACCTCGTTTCTACTATACCCCCCTTTTTGGCTGATTTTCTATAACACCCCCTTTTCTTACATATTCATTATTATAGTCGTTAACGAGTAGCTGCAATACGGAAGAATATTGTGTGAATTTCTCCCTCAAGGAAATTTCGCGGTACATCCAAAGGCAATCTGCCGAGATTTGCCCCCTCCCACTATTTCTATGTTGCCACGTGCAGGTGAATCTTCCGTTGCAAGTGGCAAGAGAGGTGCCACATGGCATTTTCGTGAGGGCGATGAAGTTCGAGGCCGAAACTCACATTCGCGCCTCAGGCAGTGATGCTAAAAGGACCAGCAAAACACCCACATTGACTAATTAAAAAAACACCAACACTAAAATATGCCATATGTAAAGACCCGGGTATTATGCATTTTTTATCTATGAGGAGACCCCCCCCCATTTTTTCCCTGTATTTTTAGCTATATCCTAGAGTGTTATGTCCAGGAGAATACGGTATGAATCAGTGTACTAGGATTTTTACACTGATTGATTCAATGTACGGAAGTTTTTAGGCTGTTGCCTGCAGTGTACAAAATGTTTTACCCTATAGGTCAGGGTACAAGAGGCCTGCCACCCTGATCCGAAAGGGTGACCCAAAACCAATTTTGGGCCCTGATAGGAAGAGGCTGGTGTAACCCTTCCTTTTTCTATTTGCTGCTCTTCACCCGTTGGCAGGTGTTGAACGAGATGACGAATGTCTGTACGTTGTCTGCCATCTCTGCCACGCACAACTTGGCCAACACATAGAGCCAGTATGGCAGCACATTCTTACTGGACGTGCAGCAAGTGACCCAAGAGTGAAGGGGACTGGATTTGGAACTCGCCCGCTAAGGTGAAGTTTGTTACAGTGATAGGGGTGCGCTTTTAACAAATCACATTTTGTCAGGGAATGCGCTTATATTTGAGAACCGAATATAACTGCAATGCTCCATATAGAAGCTTATGCAGTTTTCCAAGGTCTGTACTTCGTAGTGTCAGCCCTGGCGTGGAGGGTTGCCTATGATTCAGGTGGAAACAAGGATTTCCCTCCACTAAGCCGCTGCCGCGCGTCTGATTTCAAGACAAGTCAAGCCGTCCTATAGTGTAAAAAGAAAAGGTGTAAACATGAGCAACGGTAAGTATCACAAACAGCAGGGCAGTCCCTTGGGCCCCCCAAAGCAATCAGGAGGCTGGAATGATGCATACAATGCAACAATGTCACATATGAACCACGATTACCTCATCCCAATCCTAGACTGGGTGTTCGGTGATGAAGCTGCCCCTATCCGCAATCATTTGAAGTTGTGCCTCCAGGCTGTCCTCACCCGCAACACTATCCTTCATCTCCTGGACCTGCGCATCCACCTTGATGGCAGCGCCAGATTCCTCTTTCCCCGCCACCTCCTCCCTGACAGCCTGCAGCTGGGTGACAATGTGCGCCATGCTTGGGCGGCTTGCAGTGCGCTCCACGGTGCAGCTCACTGCAAGCTCAGCCAAGTACTGCACAACATCCCCAGGGGCGTCCATGGTGGGGTGCTTGAGGCTCTCTGAACCACCGACGACAGGCACTCGGATACCTGACAGAGTGCAAGAGGATGGACAAAATTGCAAGTTTGCAAAGGTGAAAAAAACAGCAGTTAGCCTATGAAGCAGAATATTTCACTTCAATTGGAAGAATGTGATTATGGCAACATGCAACAAGCTGCCTGAGTGGAACTTACCCACACCACAATGTGCTTGGCCTCCCCAGCATCCTGGGAAAGTAAAGACCGTCCAGTGAGCACCACAAGCATGAGCACACCAAAGCTGCAACGTGCGAGAGGTGGTGAGAGCAATGCGATGGTGAGAGCAAGGCAATGGTGACATGAATGTGACCACTGTTTTTTTTTTGTGAATTCAAATAACATGTGGAGGATGTCGATGGTGTTCAGTCAAGAAGGGAAATAAATTGAGTATCCAACCAACTAGGCTGGATGGGTTGACCAACTAGCATTGCTTCACTAGGTGCTTGTTCCAGGTGCAAATCTAATGCATAAGCCAATATCGACATGACGAGGCACATGCCACGTTTTTATATCCTCGGGAGTCTCCATCATTGGAGCCATCTCCCAGAGTCTTCCGGCTCACATAGCACGATCTTTATACGACTCTTGGCTCACCTGTAGACATCGCTGGCTGTGGTGGCCTTGGACGTCCGGTTGTAAACCGGATCCACATAGCCCGGTGTTCCCATGATTCGAGTCGTGCCCACTGTCGTGCCCTCTTCCACCCTCACCAGCCCAAAGTCTGCAATCTTGGGCTGGTGGGTGGTTGGACAATGTGATATTATGAATGCACCAGCACAAAAGAAAGAAAATTCAATGGTGACAAAACAAACGACATACACTGGTCATTGGCAGTGAACCAGAATTGCACCCAGACGCGGTAATCTCGAACGTGTAAGTGAGTGTGAGCCATATGCAGAATTAGATAAAAAAAGAGACTCGCCGAGCCAAACTAGAACACACCAATTATTTCGGCAGGCCCTGCCTATTCCTAGCAATTCTCATGGGTAGTTCTTGATTTCTTTCCACAGAAGCATCTTGTTATGCAGTGTGAGATGCTGCAACCGCGCTTGCCTGCATGTCGCTGGTGATGAGGATGTTGGCGGGCTTGATGTCGCGATGCACAAGGTCGAAGCTATGGAGATACTCAAAGCCACGTGCAACACCAATGAGGATGTCTAGCCGCTGCTTCAGACTCAGAGGAGTAGGTGCATCTGCAATGAGCCACGGGATGAGTTTCATGACAAGCATCACCAGGCAGCATGAGTGGCCTACCACGAGTAACATTGTACAAGGGAATGCGACACAACGACTTGCACACTTACTTGGTCCTATCCACTTCTCAAGGTCACCATTGGACACAAGCTCATAGATGAGGACTTGCTCTATCTTAGACCTGACGTCCCCTCCCACCGCAAACCCAAGCAGTCGCACAATGTTGGGATGGTTCTTGTCGGCCATTTGCATGACCTGGAGGAAGAGATAACCGGCACACGGGAACAGGAGGAAGATGCCCGGAAAGAAAGAGTAGGTTGAGAAGGAAAGGAGGAAATTTGATTCTGCTCGCTCAGCTTAGGAAGAAGAATAGTCCTGATCAAAATAGATAGCGAAATTTTAGATGAAGCGTCTTTCTGTTTGAAAGTAATGGAAAACCGAACTGTCTTATCCCCATGTTGACTGACGGAGTCTGCAGTCCAGCCACCTCCCCATATGCAGCTCACTCACCTCCCTCTGGAATTCCGCGCCCATGAGCTTGGCGCGTTTCACAGCCCAGGGTGTGGTGGCATCGCGGGGAGAGACGCCCTTGTAGACATCACCAAAGGCACCCGAGCCAAGCAGGTTGTCCTGGGACCAGTCGTTGGTGGCCTTGAGGACCTCCGCTAGCGAGAACTCAGTGCAGTGCGAGGCTGCCAGGCTGGCCCCTGGGCATGGTCGTGGGGTGGGGGGTGAAGGGTGAGGAGGTAATGAGCAAGCCCTCGCCTTGTCTTGCCTTGTTGTTATTGAGCACACGCATACAAAATGAGTAGACATGAAGAGGAACCATCTTAACAAGGAACGTTGAGAAGGTGTGGAGGTGGGACCTGAGCTGAACACATGGAGAACCAATCCTGCTTCTCCTACATTTTGAGCTTTGCCGCTTCTGGTGCCTGAAGCAGAGCAACATGGCAGCCAGAAGCAGGAGGAGAACGACCACAGCAGCAACAGCAATGCCAATGATGCCTCCCACTGATACACCCCCTCCACCTCCAGATGCTGCTGCTGGTGCTCCTGGTGCTGCTGCTGCTACATGAGCACAACAAAAGCATATCAGCTGAGCAAAGAGATTCGATGTAATCTGAGCAAAGAGAATGAACTGCCATTCACAACAGCACAAGCATGGCAGCAGTGGGGGTGATTCAAGTAAACTAGGCACTGCTTCATGAACCCCACTAACCTGTTTCTTGCTGGCATGCAGAACAGGTGGTGCCACAATCTTGGCAGAAGGCCGCCTTTGGCGATAAGGTTTGGGCGCAGGTGGTGCTGTCAGCAGCAGGACAAGTGAGGCTGGTGCCAGATGTGTTGCTGCAGTGGAAGTGGGCAGATCAGCACAGGAGAGAATATGCTTGGGGCAACTTGTGTGCAGATGATTGCATGCACAAGTCAAGAAACAGATTTATATAGCTGTCAGCTAGGCATGGCTAAACCGAACCTTGGTTCGGTTTAGGCAAACCGGTTTGTGTGGAACCAAAGTAGAGTTATGTTTTCATCATTTTTGGTTTGACAAGATCCTGTTAGGCCAATTTGACCTGTTCGATCTCTGCTCGGAGGGGCAACTTGAGTGCAAGTTCAAATTCAGGTAAGAAACGGGGATTGGAGCTCATTTTCAAGCTTTTAATCCTTCTTAGCTATCTCGTCGTCACTAAATGGGGCCATCGTCCGTCAAAGTGGACGTCCGGACCAAGCCTCGTTCACACCACAAAGTGGATGTCCTGTGAGTTTAAATACCACATTGATTTGCGGAGGTTGAGTTACAAGAAAACAACATCAACATTTCACAGATGCCCAAAACTTTATGCGTCATCCCGACAGCCATCGTGTTCGACAGCCCGGTTTTATTTGTTTTCTTTGGTCGTGACGACTTGGCGATTTTCCAATTTCGTCATGCGCCAACTTTTGGCTATCAAGTCATGGATGGAGCAGAACACGCGCGGCAGGAGCCTCCTCGCAGCAGGGGCCACACGCACGCTGGAGGAATTGTGCTATGAGGCCGATGACGATGGGTTTTGAGATCTGGACCCGAGACTAGACACCTTCTAGCAACGTTGGCGCCGGCATCAGCAATGAGAAATCAGTGGGAAACTCCTCGAATGCGGCGATAGTGTAAGAATCCGATTCCACTCATTCCAATACTGCGAATATTCCAAGGAGGTAGTAAAAGGGAAGCTTGTGGAGTGTCGCTCATGTAAGCACACTATCAGTCATAGCCATGGTCGTTGCACCATGCATTTCACCGAGTGGCCAAACTAAGGATGCCACGAAGTGCGAATTTGTCCGACCGTTCTCAAGGAGGTGGAGAGCTATTCGTGAAGCAGCAAGTACGAAGACCGCTGGGGGCTGAGAGAGCGAGAGCGGGGAGTGCCACGATTGCTTCGGTTGGAGGCACACCTCTAACAAGCAGAACACTATGGATTACTTAAGGGAGAGGTGGCCGCGAAGATAACATTGGCGGATGAGGCGATATGCCTCTACCACGCTGCACTGCACCTACACGAGGGGCACGTCGAGCACCCGTTCCTTTGCCACATGGTGCCGACAATCGTTTTAGTGGGGAGCCTTTACTTGCCACCAAAGGCGTTGTGTTGGAGGTGCAGCTCTGCAGCAGCGTCGCAAGCGATCGGGTCTGCATTGTTGCCAGTGGAGGCTAAGTTGGAATACACGCTGTTTGCATATGATACGCTAGCGTATAAACGCTGAATGTTTCTTGGGAGAGGTCCGGTACGCAGTGAATACGCGGGCACATAAAAAGTGAGAAAATCCAGACAGCAGTGTTGTGCACACGGCATGCAGAACAGCTACGCAGCTTACAGGTAGTCCAATTGAGCAAGACTCCCAAGTGTGGCTGGAATGATCCCGGAAAATTCATTTTGGTGCACATCCCTGTACAGAAGAGCAGGACATCTAGAGGAACAGCTGAATACACAAGAAAGTTTAAAATTGGGTAGCACTTATAAGTTTTGCTAAAGCAACGAATGCGTGAATTCAATCAAGACCAGCCAGATGGTTGGTTTAGACGGTAGGAAAGATGCAGTGGCTGGAACTTATAAGGATTGATTGGTTTGAAATTGCAATAGCAAAACGACCAAATGCAGAGGACTGAATGAAATTGTTAAGGTTGAGAATCAGTAATCGTAGTTTTGAGTTCTGCCAATTCAGGGATTTGAGTTTTGCCAATTCAGGGATTTGAGTTTTGCCAATTCAGGGATTTGAGTTCTGCCAATTCAAAAACAAAAGCATGAATCTGAAGTACAACAGCAGGCGGGAACATGGAGTCACAAAGCGATGCAGCGTGCAGAGGAGGGGAGGAGTGGCCATGCAGAGTGCATAGGCAGTGGTGGGGTGTCAGCACTGATGCGCACGTGGCATGCAGCACCCAGTGGACAGAGCAGCACGCAGGTGGAGCAAACCCATTGTGCGGCTTACAGTGTCCCGAGATATAAGAGTTCGGAGATGCTGTTGGGAATGGAGCCGGTGAGGGAGTTAGAGCTCAGATCCCTGTGTGGGAGTTAGAGCTCACACCCCGTTTAAATAGGGTGGCTGGAACTTGGAAGGATTGATTAATCAGGAGCTTCAGCAAGGCAAACAGATGCAGAGAACAGACTGAGATTGTACAGGTTGAGATTGTGTTCTGGCAGGAATGAGTTCAAAACAACACGTAGCTTCAATGAAGTACAGCAAGTAGGTTGGTGCAGTAGGGCAGAACAAGGAGTGGAAATTGGATGCAAACGGCAACGGATGGAACCAGTGTATTGAGTGGATGGGCAGAGGAGGAGTGCCAGCAGTGATGCGCACATGGCATGTAGCACCCAGTCGACAGAGCAGCACGCAGGTGGAGCAAACCCAGTGCGCCTCTTACAGAGATGCAAGTGCCGTGAGCGCAGAGATGCTGTCGGGAATGGAGCCCACGAGGGAGTTGGAGCTGAGATCACTGTGTAGGGTTGAGTGAGTTGGACGTGATGAGATGCTCAAAACCATGTCTGCTGGTAAGGGTCGCTAGCTGGAATGGAGAAGGATTAATGTGTTTGGAAGAGCTTTTGGAAGGCAAGCAGATGCAGAGGACCGACTCAGATAGTAAGGGTTGACATTGTGTAGTGCAACTAGTAATTCCTGCCGAAGCAGTTAGCATGCCAGGGTTTTGCGGTTAAATGAACAAAGGCATGGATTTGAAGTACAACAGGAGGGAGGAACATAGAGTGGCAAAGCGATGCAGACAGCAGAAGGGTGGAGGAGTGGGCGTGCAGACTGCAAGGGCAATGGAGGAGTGCCAGCAGTGATGCGCACATGGCATGCAACACCCAGTGGTCAGAGCAGCACGCAGGTGGAGCAAACCCAGTGCGCCTATTACAGTGCTTTGAGTGCCGTGAGCGCAGAGATGGTGTCGGGAATGGGTCCCTCAAGAGAGTTAAAGCCAATATTCCTGTGTGGGTTGAGTGAGTTGGACGTGATGAGACGAGAGCTTCAAATCCCCGTGCACAGCTATGTTGGATCTGACGCGTCAAGGGTCACAAATGCAAGGGTTCGGACGCTAGTGTCTTGGATGTTAGGGTCCGGATGCTAGGGTTCGGATGCTATGGTCTGGATGATAGGGTTCGGATGCTATGGTCCGGGTATTAGCGTATGGATTCTAGGGTCCAGATGCTAGGGTCCGGATGCTAGGGTCCGGATGCTAGGGTCTGAATGCTCAGGTCCGGACTCCGGATGCTAGGGTTCGGATCCTATGGTCCAGATGATAGGGTCCAGATGCTAATGTCCGGATCTTGGTTGGAAAATACGCGTCTGGCGTATCAGACGCGTACCGACTATACGGTGACGTACGTACGCTGGGATTCCAGCCTCAGAAAACGCTATGAATACGTTCTGTCGGGCAGGGAAATAAACTCTTGGCAGAGGAAAAAAAGGATTTCCTGGAGGGAGAGATGGTTTGTGTAACGCCGATACCAGATCCACGCAGATCTAGCGGCGGAATGCCAGACCTGCGTTCCTCTGGCTAGTAGCGTTCGCCTGCAACACTAGCGGTCGACTACAAGGTAAGAAGAGATCTATAATAAAAAGGCGTGATACACCCCTTGCTCTTGTACGCACGCACGCCGTCGGGAAAGCCCAAGCTGCTTGTGGTTGGTTGGAAGGGAAGGGTTGGGTTTGGGAGGTGGCGTGAGGTTATGTGCGGTGGAGGGGGGGGGGGGGGGGGGAGGCATTTGACTTTTAAATGCCAAAATTAGACTTTCAAATGTCAAAATTAGGTTTCAGATAGTCGCCGATCGCGAAAAGGGTGGCAACCTTGTTTTTTGTGTGTGTGTGTGTTTCTTTTTTTCGGGCTGCCTGTCGCGACGTATTGCGAATTTATCCCCGTATAACGTTTTTCGGTTTATGAGTAAACGCATATACGTGATATGTAAAATTTCCTAGCGTTTTTCCCAACCTAGGTCCGGACTCCGGATGCTAGGGTCCGGAAGCTAGGTTTCAAATGTTAGGGTCCAGATGCTAGGATCCGGGGCGCTAGTCGCTTTGGTGAGCCTCTGTTGGACGCGCCGGATGCTTGTCCAGGCAGGGCAAAAAAAAAAAACAAATGCAAGGGTCCGGACTTTGGATGCTAGTTGCGGAAGACGCTCGACCCGTCTTGCGTCTAGCGTCGAGACGATTTAGACGCTAGACACTTGGGCTTATTTTTCGGGCAGCTAAAAAAAAAATCCGCACGCGCGAAATTAAAATTCACCATTTTGACGCGAAATTCAATTTCGCGCCATTAGAACCCCTTCCCACCCATTTCGACCATATAAACCAGCCCCCCAAGCAATTTTTGAAACCCCCCAAACCAAAATTGAACACAAACCACACTTCACCGCTTGGTATCTTGAAATCCCAACCTCTATGGCTAACCACCAAGAGGTTGGGGAGCACAAATCCCTCATGTGTGCTCCCCATCGTTCATTTCTTCCAAATATCTTTCGAAAACCCTTAGGGTTTAGCTAGTTCCTTTGCGAGAGCAACATATTGTGAAATCTAAGAATGGGAAAAACATTATGGTACGGGGAAACAATGACCCCATTGTGACATACGTGCGTGTCCCCCACCCTCCCCATGCCCCACAGATTATTTGTTTGTCTGCCCGAACTTTTTTTTAGCCTACCCGGGCTTTCATCTATACTGCGTCTAATCTGACTCATCTAGCATCTAGCGTCTTAGACGCTGCGCCTAGACGGACGCGTCTAAGACGCTAGATGCGTCTTCCGCAACTAAGAGCTAGGGTCCGGATGCTAGGTTTCGGATGTTAGGGTTCGGATGCTAGGGTCCGTGACGCTAGTCGCTTAGGTGAGCCTCTGTCACACGCGCCCCGGACGATTGTCCAGGCAGGGCAAAAAACAAATGGGCAGGAAAAATAACCAGAGGAAGTTAGGCAATAAAGGGGGCAAGAGGCAGGACACAAATACACAATATCCATAACTTATATCAAGATCCCCAAAATACGCACACAAGGTAATTAACAAGGTTCACATGAGCCATTAACGCATCATTAAGCACACGGTCGTCTTCCTCCTCTTCCACACCCCCACCTCGGTCTACAAATGTTTCCCTAACACCACTTCTCAAAGGTGTGGAGCCACTACCCACAGGTTCCATAGGAGTATTATTAAACACTGTACCTTAAATGCCAATAGTTATAGGGAACTGTGACGGATACGAGATTACCGCACAGGAAATTTGTTGGTGCAAAAATATCGTTTGCACGTCAACCTACCGCCTATTCGCCAAGTATCAAGAAAAGGTTAAGTTATTCATTCGAAGGTAATTTGTGGCTTGAGAGACGCGCATTTCTGTGTTTTACGTTTGAGCGATTACGGCTCGTGAATTGTCTCTACGGTTCATGAGTTATGATCATTTTTGTGAAGCATTGCGCTTGTGAATGTTCATGAGTTTCTATGAGTGATGGTGTGGGTTCATGTCATTTCATGGGTTCTGGTATGTCGTGAGTGTTCATGAAGCGTCCATGCATTTTGGTGAGTGTTCACGTAATTTCGTGTTTGTTCATGAGTGTTCAGGGGATTTCAGGGTCAAGGTTTAAGCGACGGTGCCGAGCACTGTTGCGATTTCGACGCCATCATTCGAGTGGCGCCAGAGTGTGCCAACATGTGCACACGCGCAGCCTAAGGCCGCAATCGGATTCGCCACACGCGCAAGTGTGGCCTTGTGGGTGGCGCGAAGGAAAACGACGAGGGGTCATGGACCCAGGCTGGATTTGGAGGGTGCCTTGTGGGACCACCGACATTTTGCTGGACCCACGAGCGTTCTGACTAAATTTTCCGAGGAGAGAAATTCAAAAGGTGTTTCGTTTTCAGGGCGACATACCTCGTGCTGAGATCGCCAACATCGCGTGCGTTTTTGGCTTTCAAAGACGCATTCCGGGTTTTCACCGCCCCAACACATTTCAACCACTCCAAATGTCCAATTTCCAACCAGGGCGACCATAATCTGAAGTAGAAAAGAGATCGTCGTCGTCATTTCGCCACTCTCCCTCTCATACCGATTACTCTTGCCCATTATCCAACCAGGGCGACCCCAATCTGATTGCTATGTTGCTATGTACAACATAGCAAAGGGGTGAATGGAGGCCAAAAACAGAACCAGTTCGAATTTGGGTCGAACACCTTAGTGTTCGAACCGAAATCAACACTGTTCGACAGCTGAGTCGAACACTCGAACCGTGCCTTGAAGACAAAGGCACAACTTTGAAAGCGTCCAAATCAAACCTGTTCGAGCTCGACTGTTGCTCATGCCTATAATCAAGGTGGGAAAAAACGATTGTACAAAGGCACAGCCTTCATTTTAAGGGTATTTGATGGCTGTGTTGAGAAAGACGCGTCCAATGTCCAGACGCTGGACGC